TCTTTGTTCTTCAGATTTTCTCCTCTTTGGCTGTTTTTTGGCCATCTCTCCTTCTTGACAATGGGTGGAGCTCAGCAAGAACCCCCTCCCCTTCCCCCCTGTCCTGTGCATACTCCCACAAACACCCTCTGTTGCTGATTGACTGGAATAGTGTTGTATTTTTCATCCCGAGCCACTTTGTTCATTGCTGTTTTACAGAGTCAGGGCAGTGCAGAACAGAGAACTAGAGGAGAGGAGAGATTAATTGAATTTGACAAAAAATGTATTGGATTGAAATCATATACTGTGCCTTCAGAAAAGTCCTAGAAAGAATATATTTCTTCACAATTATGTACTCGGTGGCATATACTTGTTCAAAATTCTGCAAATGTTTGAACTAATTTAAATATTAATCATTTACATTTCATCTTTCTCTAAATGCAGAAAAAATACATAAATGAGTAAATTAACCGTATTAACTGTATTAAAAACTCCTGAAATTCCTGATGGTTGTGATGTCACAACCATGATGAATTCAAAACAAATACACATGATTGCCTGCAGTAGCCAAGTCTGAAAGTTTTTGAGCATATTAAAACATTATGTCAGGACAATTTTGTTATAAACACATGCGAGTAGCTGTTTGTGCAAATACTAAGGCCAATAGAAAGACCTGCAATCAATACTTGAGGTAGAATCAGTCTGTGATCAGTCATTTCTGTGCTCTGCAATTTAAAACAGTAGGAAATAATAGGAAAAATAAAAAGGTTATGACTAAAACTAAAACACTGTCAATTTAACCTGCTACAGTTTAACAATGCTCTTTCACATTGAAGTGATAAAGAGGGATGTTACTGCAGACAATCCATAGCGGATTTAATTGAGTGAACGAAATTGGGAAAATGTTTAAATGTTGTGCTGTTCCTGGCTGTCAGTTAGCAAATCTATCATTGCAGCCTAAAAGAACCAGAAATCCAAAAGCAACCAGTTTAGCTCATTTACCTCAGCCTGTTTAATGCCAAGAATAAAGAGATGAAAAGTGGTCATGTAAAAATGAACTACTGGAAAAATATGGCAGAATTTGGACCTTGCAAAAAGACTGAGTTAAACTTATTGTGAATGAGAACAGAAATTTCCCTCTTTGATAAGATCAATTAGTATCTTTCTACTGGACATTCATCAGTGTCTGGCTCTTCAGCCACACAGCAGGACATCACAGGGCTGTGCCTTGTGTTTGATGTTCCTTATACAGTGCCCTCCATCATCTTTCTGCAGTCTGCTGTAATGGCAGGCTGCTTGAGACGCCCATTACAATTAGTAGGCAATCTGGAGCTTCTGTCATGTCGCCCTGGCCTCATATCCAAACAAATCCCAGCAAAATCAGCCCAGATACTGTCTCCATACCTGAACGGACAAACACGGTCTGAAATGAAGCAACCAACTATCACCTCACAAATCACAGGGCCAATTTGCTGGACCAATGAGGAGGCTGATTGTGGGCGCTCTCCCCGTAAGCGGAGTGCAGCGGTCCTTCTAAATGGACCAGGGGTCACGCCAGTAATAGTGGAGCAAAGTCAAGTGCGGCCGCCAGAGAGACAAAGTGCGGGCAGGGCGTTTCAGACAGCAAACAAACTGTGAGAACCCGGACACTGAGGTATTTCAAGGGCCACTTGCAGAGGCCAGCGATCCAGCAATGTGGACAAGCACCCTAACTTAGCAATCATATGAAAAATAAACAAGATTATTCACAGATGTCAACAAATGTCTGGGAGCCAAGATTCAGTAGACCAGCTGCTGACCACTGCCACGGGCATACTTTTTATACAATGTGGTCACATCTTGTAAGATATTTCAGTCTTTTTATAAAGTTTTTACTGCTTCCCCTTCGAGACTACCACAGCCGTGCGGACATGACATCAACAAATATATAAGGGCTGGAGTAGAATCATCAAGCAGAGTCATTTTTAAATACAGTACATAAACTATGCATTTGAATCTACCACCTTTTACGTTCTATGTACATTTATTTTCAAGAAAATGTGACTGATAGTTCTTTTATAGTCAGATAATGTATATTAGAAGAATATATTTGCTTATTTTAGTTATTTTATATGCTTTTCATTTTATACTGTGTCAAATAATACACATACATTTTATAGAAATGTATAAGAATAATAGTAAAACTTACCTAAACCGACACTAAATACTGTTTGAACTATGAATTCTATGAGAAAGCCTAAAAAGATCTGAGCTAGGTTTTCCAAAAGCACCTTGGCACGAGACGATTCTTAAACAGTAGAGTGAGCATCATATTAAACACTCTCTCTGCTAGTTAATATGATCTAAACACTAAGATGCTTTTGGGAAATCCAGCCCTGCGTTTGCGTTTTAGGGTTTTAATAATGCTACAGAAAGTGCTTATGTCTGCCAACATTCAGAAGGAGGAGCCTCGCTGGTTTTACTTGTTGATAAAACCACATAGATGAAACACTATGCTCGAGTTTCACATCTTTACAACTGCATATTTCAAATAGACCCGAAATAATCTTTGTTTGTTTCTTTAAAGGCCTAAGAAATTCAGTGATTCAAATCTACGGTGACTAGACACTAGAGCTAGAACTCTGCAGACACGGACCAGCTAACCTCTGCCACATAGCACAATATCACACTGCTGTATCAGTGATCAGATCTCAGATTTTAGTGCGTCTTTACATTTGAAAATACACTGAGAATTTATTAAAAAAAAAAAGGGGGGCGTGAAAACTGATATGAAGCCAGTGTTAGCTTGCCAGTTAAATCATGACGTGTATCTCATTCAAGCTTATTTTATGGTAGGGGAAACAAGAAAAGGGTCCCTAGAAAAACCATTGGAGCATCATAATTGGTGACCAGGTCCAGTGTCTACAGTGGTGTACAGTCTAGGTGTGGACACCTGTATACTCACAGCCCCCACCCCTAAAGTGCATTCTCCAAGTACAGTGCTACCTTTAGACATAAACTATCATAATTATTTATAAACGTTATTTCAAATGACAGTTGATTAAAGCAGATTTGATTACATAAAAGCCTATTTGTGCTATTGAAGTACTTACGTTTGTTTGTTTCACAGTAAGATGCTTGTTCTTTTCTCTTATTCAAATCAAAGGGAGGGAACAGCGAACGCCTCCTCTGTGTATTTGTACGCGCAGAGAGTTGGCGTTGCTCAATATCTTTTGAAACAAACCGTTTTCCCGCACTAAATGGCTTCCCTAAAGCGAGACGTCCTCTGGGAGCGAAGCTTCACGCGTCTCGAGGGAGATTGTGTGTGCGCAGCTGCCAGAGAGTGTGTGACAGACTTTAAGACGTGACTCTCACCTTGAATGAGCGAAAAGCACTTAAGACTTATCTCTGGCACTTCGTGAGATCTTCTCCCATTTTCTCATCCATTTCCTCCATCTCAGATCGCTCTCTTTTCATTTCAGCCCTCAGATGTTCCAATCCCGATACTGTTTTTGTAATGGAACCTCGAGGGCATGGAGGCCCATATCAACGAGACTGAAAAAGAAAAAAAGTCAAACTCAACCTTTTCATACCGCATTAGAGTGCAATAACAATGGCTGCTAGACCATCTGTGGCTGGTGGATGACAGGATTTTAATATGTGGAGCACCACATTTTTTCTTTACCGGTAGAGAAAACTGGTACAGAAAAGAGCCAGTAGAGTCAAGTATTTCAAAACTCTGGTCGTTCATACAGAGCTGGTTTTAAAGTTGCCAGCATTAGGGTAAGGGTTAGGCCAGGGGTCAGCAACATGCGGCTCTTTTACTGTCCTGTTGTGGCTCCACAGCAGAATCAGATTTGTTGGTTAAAATAAAAATAATCCTCCTTTACAGTAAAATAAAGCTCTGCTGAGTTTTAACAATAAATGGTCTTAAACGCTGGAGTTAATGTAGAACTGCTAATTCACCCTTTAACCCTGAAGGTTGGCAAGCAGACTCCTGGTCACCATAGCAACGCAGACATTTTGCCTAGCTAATAGCTAACGAAACGGCAAAGAGAGAGATTTATGACGAACATCGATAATTTGGAGATGAATGGGTGAAACGAGAAACTGTCAAACTCTAAAAAGTCTTGAGGCTGAAGTCGCTTCTCATTCACGGCTTCTCGTTTGAATTTTCCGGTTCCACCTTAAATGGTGCAGCGGCCACATTCTGGTGCCTCAGGCACCATTTAAGGTGGAACGGGAAAATTAGAACAAGAAGCTGGCGAATGAGAAGCGACTTCAGCCTCGTAAAAAGGTCAAACATTGAGAGACATTTTATAAGAAACTGTTCTACTTTTGGGAAAAGTTTCCTGCCGGAGATGTAAGAAAAGCTGAGCTAAAGCTTAAAGCAGAGCACAGTAAGTCTGTGTTTTCATTTATATTATATTTTTTAGCCCAGTAGCACATACTGAGACATATTTACAGCCAAGATGGGAAAGCGTTACTTAAAAAAAAAATTAACATACAAAAGTTGTGGCACCCAAGGCAGATTGATTTTGTTGAAAAGACAAATTGGCTTTTCTTGACATTTGGGTTTCCGACCCCTGAGTCAGGCCTAGGGTTAATAGTTAAAATTTCCATAGGGCAATAAAGTAATCCTTCCAAATTCTTTGTGTTTATGAGAAGAAAACTACATAATTACTACAATTTTTTAACAAATCAAACCTACTAGAATCACTTACTGTACCTGACCCAGTGCAACTATTGATTAGAATATCAAATCTTGGCACATCTGAAGGTCATAAAGTAGCAAGGTCATAAAAAAGGTGTTCCACTACTCAGCTGTAGGTGCTCGAGTCCTGTCTGATGTACAGTGTATTTACAGAAAAGGCTGCAATTGAAACACCAGACAAGCCCAAGCACTAGCAGTGTTAGGATTTCACCTGAGCCTAATGTTGTCTGCCATGTGATGGATGGATGAGACAGCGGATTGGAACCCAGTAGATAATTCATTACTCTTCCCACCGGCTGTCTGACACCGGACCTTTCTGCCCACACAGAAAGCCCGCCTGGCCCGGATAAGAATAGCCAAGAAGGGCAGCTCCAACGCCTACCTGCAGAGCAAACGCAACGGCCTCCTGAACGAGCTTCTGGATCTGACGGTGAGCACCTGTCCGCCTCCCAGACACGGTGTATAACAAAGCTTTCCCTTATATGTTAATGCACTAGGCAAGTCGGATGATACGGCACTGAGTCTGGCCGGACTTTCCTCACGTGTTTTAAAAGCATGTAGTAATATTTATTGGCAAACAACATCTTTTTATGGTATTCTGACCAAATTTGACCTTGACTTGTTGGGCTATTGACATTTTGTGCTTTAGCTAGCTTGCATTTGCAAACTGTATTCTCTGTTTTTCTGCTTAAAATGGAATTAAACAATTTTGGAGAGCTGTAAATTAACTGGCTAACAGATACTGTCATTGGGAATGTTTTATTTGGTCTTAGGTTGCTGATGATTAGGCTACAATAGACATTAGACAGGCTAAAGTAGGGTTCAGACAATTTTGTTGGGTCGCCGTTGGTTTCAGACAGTTTTGTTGGGCTACGGCCAAGTTCAAACAGAAAATTTTGGGCAACAAGCTCGGACCAAATTTTGGCAGGGTGCAGTCAGATTTAGGCACAATTTTGTCAGGCTATCGTAGGGTTAGAAGAAATTTGTCGAGCTGTAGTCACTTTCAAACAGAATTTTGTTGGGCTGCAGTCAGGTTGGATTCTGAATTTTGTCTAGCTACAGTTGGTTTCAGGCAGTTTTGTCAAGCTGTGGCCAGGTTTAGACAGAATTTTGTCAGGGTACAGTCAGGTTCAGGCAGAATTTTGTCAGGCTATAGTTGGATTCAGACAGAATTGTGTTGATCTGCAGTTGAGCTGAGACTGGGAGTTTGTTGGTCTGCAGTTGAGCTGAGACTGGGAATTTGTTGGTCTACACTTAGCTTCACAGAAATTCATTGGGCTACAGTCAGGCTATAGTCAGATTCAGGCAGAATTCTGCCAGGCAAGCTAGGACAGAGTCTTGTTAGCCTACAGTCAGGCTTAAAAAAGAATTTTGTTGGCCTACAGTCGAGTTGACACAGTTTTGTGGGGTTACCGAGAAGTTCACAGAATTTTTGGCTACAGCCAGGTTCAGGCAGAGTTTTGTCAGGCTAGTACTGAGACAGAGTTGTTCAGTTTTAGTCAGTTTCAGACAGAATTTTGGTGGGCCACAGTTGGGCTACAGTTTGGTTTAGACAGAATGTTGTCAGGCTAGATTTGAGACAGGTTTGTTGAGTTACAGTTGGGTTCAGATAGAATTTCATCAGGGTACAGTCAGGTTGAGAGGATTTTCTCAGGCTGCAGGCAAGTTTAGACAATTTTGTTAGACTGCAGTCAGATTTAAACAGAATTTTTTCGGGCTGCCGTTGGGTTTGAAATGTTTAAATAAGCCTTCATAATGTTCTTGGACTATTCAGGATCATTTAAAATTTCAAGCCCAGTTTAAGCTCACATGGGTTGTAACCGGGTTGTCAGGCTGCAGTTGGGTTCAGTTAGCATTTGAAACAGTAACATAAGCCTGGGTACTTGTGGAAAAGTAATAAGATTTCTTATCCCAGGCCTAACCTGCAATGACCATCTTGACTCTGTCAAATCCCACTGCCCGTGACACGTTTTTATTGTGCTCTGTTGATGCTCCCATCTAGGGTGAAGTCGTGCCGAACTCTAATGAAATCAGGACAGATTTAACTCGCACTCACCTCCATCCTAATTAGAAGCGGTGCAGACTTTAAAAGAGCTAAATACAAAAGTCCTAGAATCAGCCATTCTGTCTGACCCCATCTTCCTTTTATTTCTGTGAGTATAGCCCAAGATTAAAGCCAGTGAAAAATACCTCCAATTAAAACTCAATAGTGTTTGTAAAAAAGGGAAAAAGAAAGGTCCCTCTACTCTCAGCCTTTGGTGTTTTGCTTTCGGTGTTTGCTCTGTTCTCCCCCAGTGGCTTTGTGCATAACAATCCAGGATGGCAGACAGCCACAGACGCTGTCATCCCCGTCATATCAGGCAGCGTCCCTATTCACATGGAAAGGAGTTCTGCTGAAGGTGGCAGGAGGCAGGAGTCCCATCGGTGCGGGCGGGTTTGTCCCTGTTCTGTGGCTGATTTTCGTACAAGGGGTTGTGATGAAGCTGTCAGAGATTTGGCACTTGGAATTACAGGCGTGTCATTCCTGTTGCTCGCCGCTGCGTGGGACTCGATGGAGGCCTTGGGAGACTGAAATCCATTTGAAAAGAAAGTTGCTGCTGCAACCTTGTTACACTCCTAGAGATTCCTTTCCAGATGTCATGACAGTTGTTGAGAAGTCCTTTGTTATTCACTGCCTCACTGATTCAACAGCTAAAGGCCACCATGGAGTGAGGGAGTGAGCTGGTAATGAATTCATAGGCTGAGACTTTTAAATCAAAATATAGGACAGTATGGGGCAATATGACAAAAATATAATATTACAGTACTTGAAGACAAGTACATGATATACTTTGTGTCTCAGCCCATTTTTCTGGGTTTGATAAGTTGTAACAGACAAAATCAGCAAAACAGTAGTGCCACATTAAGAATGCTGTCAAAACTATAGCTACGTTCACATTAAAAGCCTTGTTGCTCAAATCTGATTTTTTTACTCAAATCCGATCTCTCTGACACGATGGTTCACACTCGTTTAGGTAAGTGACTCAGATCTGTCATTAATGTGATGAACCGGCATCCTGAAATGACCCACATGAGCTCATCCTACTCAGTAACGTCACGTGAATGAATCACGTTCATCATCAGCACAAACTAACGAGCAGAACGAGCTTCGCTGAGGAGATAATTAACTCTGATCAGCTCTCAGCTTCATTATTAGAGCGAGACGAAGGAGAAAAAGGTGAGATGAGCTGCTTTTCCACCGTTTACAGGCTTTAACTTCTGTTTGGCGCTGCTGCCATGGTAACGCTGAATGATGGCACACGCGCAGTGGGGAAAAAAAGCACATGAATTCCGATCTGAGCATCACATTAAGGTCACATGGCCATGAATCGGATACGTATCCGATTTAGGACCACATATAAAAGAGGCTCAGGTTGGATTTGAAAAGATCAGATTTGTGTGTCCACACAGCTCTGAAAACATCAGATCTGAGTCAAATTAGGGCCGAAAATCGGATTCGTGCCACTTCAACATGGTAATGTGAACGTAGCCTATGAGAACAGTCTATTTAAACAGTGGAGATTACATTTATTGTGTATACACTACACAACTCTTGCACTTGTTATCCAAAGGTATTTCACAAACAAGGATAATTTATACCTGTCCAATAAGGGACATTCTTATTGGACAGTCCTCACTTTAAGCATAAATGATGCAGCTTATTGAGGAACCCTACTTATGTAACCCCTGGATAGAAGACATCTGTTTGTGAGATATGTATTGATACAGTCAAAACTTGTGTGTCTATGTGTATGTCTTAGGGTTCAGAGGAGGAGGAGCAGCACATGAACAAAACCTCATCGCTGTTGGAGAGCCAACACCACCACCTACTGCACTGTCTGGAGAAAACTACTGTGAGTCTGGTGACACTCGGTAACATGTATGGTAACACTTTACTTGAATGTTCCACTGTCCATGCTTCGCAGATACGTACCATTAACTTCCATTCCACTAAATTTCCATTAATATCTTTATCTTTTCCTTCACCTTACCCAACCCCTAACTTTAACAATCCAACAACCCAGTTCATCCACCGAAATGAAACCATCTCATGGCCAATGTATATAAAATTTGGAACTCACATCTATTATAAATAGAAGCCATTGTAAAATTTTGCCCCTCATTTGTGTTCTACTGACATCATAAGGCATATTGTGAGTGGACCCCAATGATTGCCAATAATAATTTGTAGACGGTCACTTAACTCTCTTAGGCTTTGTTCATACAGCAGGTAAAAGTGACCCAAATCTGGTCTTTTTCTTTAGGTTTGACACAGATGTTTCTGTGTGTCAGTGTGAACAGATAAACACACTGAATCTGACATTTTCAATTCTGATTTGAGACGCTTTCATATGTGGTACTGAAATCCGATACGTATCCGATCTGTGGTGATGCAACTCAGTCTGAACAGCCAGATCGGAATTCACACGGCTTTTACATCAATCCAGCTCCACATTCATCATAATTTCGCACTGCTGAGACTCAAACATTTGGGCTGATGTTTCTGTACCAGAAAATTTGAAGGCACTTATCACAACGACTCAGTGTTCAAAGAGATTTCTAAAGAAATGTCCGAACGAGGCCGCAGGAGAACGAGGCTGCAGCGTCAAAGAACAGATAAAAGTCTGAAAGCAAAGTTTAAAGAATCCGAGGACGCGAACCAAAGAAGTGACCGCGCCCTTTTTACGGCTCGAACACATTCTGGGTGATGAGCCCAGCTGTCAGTCAGTGAAGCTTCATGATGGCTCCTGTGATGCTGGTGAAGATGAAGCTGATCCTCCGGGAGCGACTGGCGTTCGTTGGCAGTCACGATTGTTTACCTGAAGCAACGTGAAGCATCGATCTTCTGCGCATGTGGGTCAGTTTAGGAGCTGATCTGTTCAGACTGATGTCGCATTCAGATCACATTTAAAAGACGTTGTAAACAGCCAAACAAAAAAATCGGATTTGCTGAGAAACCACCTTTTTTTCCACCTACCGTTCAAAAGCTGCTGAAGAAAGAAATCTGAATATGCAAAAATGAGACTTCACTGCTCACAAAAAATGGCTTTTTTCTGGTTTTGGCAACATTATCTTAATGCATTAAATACATCTGTGGATTGGCACATTTATTAATAACATTCAGCGTATGATCATATAATGTAACGGGCCAATCTAGTGTCCATATAGTCTCCAGTTGCCAGTAAATGCAACTTCAGGACACCCTAGATAGCAGATGACAGCTTCAGAATCTCCTTGTTTTACTGCTGGTAATGTTAGCAAATGGCTAACTAGAGTAAGCAATAACTTTTCACATATCCCGGCCGCCACCCTACAGCAAACCTTCTCAGCAGATAAAAGGTTGGTACAGTGCCCACACGTGCAAATGGACCCCTGATGTCAAGCGTGTTTTATTATTGATGTCAGAATGAATGAGACTTAGTGTTTAAAGAAATCCTCTTCATTCAAAATTCAGTACTTCTAAGAAATCAGGACTCAGTGTTTACCGAATGCAGATCTGGTTGTACTGCCAAGTTGAGCAGATCATTTGAAACCTAAGTAGCTCATATGGTTTTAGGGAATAACGTAGCATTCTTTCACATCTCCCACACACTCCTGCTCATTATCTGGTGCTAATTCTTTGCAGGCTTCAGCCAGTGGATTAAACTGGTAAGGCTCGAGGCAACCTGGCTGTTGTAAATGTATCAAAGACGGAGATGATGGTGAAGAAAATTCTTCTACCTCATATGATCTCTCAGTCACTGAAGTGCTATTCGTGCTAGGTATGAAAATACACCTGTTGATTTCTGTAGTGAATGTCGTGGGTCGGAAAACGACGTCGTGATTCGACAGACGTGATTCTGTAAGTTTGCTAGTTCAGTTAGTTCAGAGTTCAGCTCCAGTCCTGAAACCCCTGCACTGCATAACTGTGGTTTCCTGGTTAAAATACCTGATATTATCAGCTAATTAATCCCTTCTTGAGCTGAACGAGGTGTGAACAGCAGAGAAACACTAAACTATACAGTGCAGCGGCTCCAAACCTGGAGTGAAAACACTGAATTAGAGGTCTGTGTGTCTCTCGTCTCTCAGCTTCTGTCGCGTCTTACAGGTGAATTGAAGGCATCGCGCCGCGCAGTCACTCCCTGATTCAGCCCTAAAAATGGCACCAACTATGTAGTGTGACATCACGCGAAACGTGAGAATAAAAATGGACAAATGTATGGACACAATTCAGACTTCCAGATGGCTGCTAGCAATGTTTTTAACTGGTCATATACTTCTCTGCATCTATAGATAATCTATAGGGAACTATCCAAATAAACCAGGGACCAAATATTAAGTTATTGACACTTATTCAGCCATCAGCACATCAGTAAACTTTACTCTAGTGAACTTCATTGGCTTAGTTTACATTCATCATTAAAATGAGTCACGTCTCTGGACGTGGTCCATGCATTTAAAACTGCTGTTTGTGATGGGATTGTGAAGCAGGCCTTTGCATGTGAAAGTTGAAAAGCAATTCATTGCCAGTACATAATTCTCCACCACGCCTGGTAGTAATTTAAACCAGTGTTTTTCTATCATTGTAAACAGAGCTTGAGTAATAACAACTGATATCTGAAATAATTTGCATGACAAATAAACAAAATAAGCTCACTGTACAGAACAAAACAGACTAAAGACACAACATATGCAAAATAAGCATTTCGCTGCTGTCGGAAGAAAGCCTTGTATCTCTAAAATGGTAACTTTACAGGAGAAGGAAAAACATACTCTACTATTAATGTAAGTTAGTGGAACCAGACGTCTTTCCAAGTCATTTTGGGCATTTTCAAATCATTTCAAAAACTAAAAATCGACAAAAATGGAGATATGAGGTTTTGTTCCGACAGCAGCGAAGTGCTGGAGACAAAACAATTAAAATAAAGACAACACATAAAATTTAAACATTTTCTCCCCCTCCCCCGCAGGCTCACGAATTTGTGGATGAGCAGCTGTTCGAGCAGAACTGCGTAGAGGGGGCACAGTTTTCTCGCAGCCCATCTCTGTCCAGTCAGGAGGGCTTCACAGGCACCTGCTGCACCCGCCGCTCCCGCAAAAGGATCCCTCTGCCCAACGCCAGCCTGTCCACCACACACACGCACACACACACGCAGGGCCTGCAGGAGCTCAGCGCCATTCACATCCAGTGTGGAGATCAGCCCAGCCTCAGCACAAGGTGAGTGTGTGGCTTCACTGCAGTACTCAGATTACACACTAGAGGGCACTGTGGCAGCGTGAAGAGAGCACGAGTCATTCTACTGAAACGTCAATTTTTGTGTCCCTAGTGTTTACAGATATATCACACTTAAAAAAACCTGTTATGGTTACAATTTATTTCTATTTTAAAATAAAACAATAAGTTATTTTCACAATTACACCTTCTTGAGCCTCAATTTAGCAATATTGGTTTTTAAATCAATCATATAGAATTCCAAGCACCACAGAAGAGCTCGTCCTCACAGTCATGTGTGAAGGCTGAGGCCATATTTTGAAGAAAAAAACATATTTTTCTGCAATTTTAACTGCAATAATCTATACATGACTATGAAATATATGATTTACATGACAAAGAAAACAAATGCCAAATAAATATTATAAAATATATAATGAAAGTTGTGGTCCCCAGGAGTCGTGTCACTGGTGTTACTGCGTAACAAAAAATCTTTTATTTTGAAATAAAAATCACACTGATGACATCACTTGACTTCCTTTCACCTGTTTTCTGAGGATCTATGAAGAAAAGCTCATGGTGAGTCCACTGTGTCTTTCAGTTATCAGAGATTTTCTCATTTAGCTCATGATTTCGTATGAAGCTTTTAGCTGAAGTCACTGGTGTTACCTTTCTTATGTGTAGCACCAATGAGGATCAGTAACACCAGTGACTCCTATGGATAGATAAGTGGACTTTTCTGTAGAATGACCCACATATGTTTGCTACATGTTTGTGTAAATCATAAATCAAATTATAATAAAATATCTCTTCTACATAGGAACGCCTGGTATGGACTGAAAGTTTGGAAACTGCAATCTTGTCAGAAGTTTGCATTTGTCTCTTTGAGCGGAGCGATACGTATATAATCAACGAAACATGCTGTTTTTACAGAGTGTTGTAATGTAAAGGATGTGATACAAATAAGTGCTGTTCCTGTTGAATTTTTTTAGGTTATTGATTACCTTAGAAAACAGAACTGTAATTATTACCATTTACTTCAGTTGCAGTTCAGCCGCCTCTATCAAAGAGCATAATTTCAATGTATAGTCAGTATCCAGGGATACACATATTTAGGCAGATTGGTCTAATAACTCATTTAATTAAATTACATATGTATATATATATATATATATATATATATATATATATATATATATATATATATTATTACTTAAATTTAATAATTAATTTAATAATAATAAAAATAATAATAATAATAATACTAACTGATTTACATCATCTGCTGCATTGGACTGGTACTTTCCTTTTCTTTATTAAAAAAGTGAGCATAAAGTTCATTAAAGGCAAAGGAATTCAAATGTACTGAATTGTCTCTTTACCCCAAATGCAGTCGACGTTTGTTTCTTTAGTTTTGCACTAAAGCTATGAGGCTAATGTAGCTAATATGAAAAAGAAGCTGTCTGCCAAAATCATCACACAGTTGCCTCAAATTGAACTGGGTTTTTAAGCTCAAATACTTGATTTTGTGGTTTCTGACACTGTATGATGTACTGTTATCAATAAAAATAGACCAAACTATGTTGCATTGTCAATAACAGTAGTAGCAGCCAACTTATAGCCAGTGTCGTAACCAAATAAGAAAAGGCTGCGTTCACATTACCAGCCTCGTTGATCAAATCCGATTTTTTGCTCAAATCCAATCTCTCTGACTTGATGCTTCACACTCGTTTAGGTAAGTGACTCAAATCTGTCATTAATGTGACGAACCGGCGTCCTGAAATGACCCTCATGAGCTCATCCTACTCAGTAACGTCACGTGAATGAATCACGTTCATCATCAGCACAAACTAACGAGCAGAACGAGCTTCGCTGAGAAGATCATTAACTCTGATCAGCTCTCAGCTTCATTATTAGAGCGAGACGAAGGAGAAAAAGGTGAGATGAGCTGCTTTTCCACCGTTTACAGGCTTTAACTTCTGTTCGGCGCTGCTGCCATGGTAACGCTGAATGATGGCGCATGGGTAAGGTATTGCTAAAGCTCTACTAATGTCATGCCTTTGTTCTTTAAACACCTTAGCAGTCGCTCCAGTCTCAACATGAAGTCCAGCGAGAGGAGCCGGATTAACTGCAGGGGGCAGCAGATTACCACAGCTGTCATTAGCCTGCCATCACCCACCAACTTCCCACCGGACGGAGACGGCCACGGTCCGGCTAACCCCATCCCTGCCCCACCCACCATCAACACCACCACCAGCTCTAACATCGTCAAGGTGTCAGCCCTGTGACCCGCCCGCTCCCCGCCCACAACCAATCCCCTACCACCACGAGAAGGAAGGACCGTGGAAGAGCCAGCAGAGCCCTGAGCCTGTAGCTGAACATGTCTGGTGGACATTGTGGAATAAAAACATGGACAGAACATTGAAGCTGCAGCCTCTGACTGATGCCTGGACCTGGAAGAAAATGGCTGGATTTCAGCCTGTGTGATTCAGAGGCTTCCAGACATTGTTGTTCTTCAGATTTAATAGACGTTGGCCGGTGGATGTTCATGCAGATGTTTTGGGACTGAAGGATAAGGATCGCTGTTTAAAGGCGAGGAGGCTGAAGGCGATTAGTGTAAAATGTTTTGTTTCAGTTCGGTCATCCGTCATCGATCATGATAGGCGCACAGTACATAATGGAAATCAACGTGGTTCAATATTGTGTGATATTCACAAGTCCCAGTGGAATCTGTCAGAAGTATGGTAATGTAAACAGTACATTTGGGCAAGATTATATTGTTCTTTAATACACTGCAGGCAAACATAACTTTGCAGAGAGAGGCCAGCCGTTCAAAATTAGTCTAGAAGGGTGTTTGAGTTTTATTACTGCTTCTTTTGAGTAGAAATATGTGCTCGATGTTTCAATACTGTTTTTAATGTACCCTCAACAAATTTGCCTTGCGGCTCCAAAGTGCATAGCACCTGCGTTACAGAAGTGGCCGCAAGCATGGTGCAAAATACACTAGGACCCCCTAATTAAAACGCTTGGACCCCCTGATTGTCTCAAAATCTAAATTCTGGGAGGGTCCCTGAAAATAAACCTGTTACGACATTATGCTGTGCGTTAAGGAAAAATAGATGCTCAAATATAAATTCATGGAAAGATCATTGTTTATCTGCTTCACCCACAATCGGCTTCTGTCTTTGGCATTTTAAACTAACTAGAGATGCAGCACTGGTCTGCCTCAGGGTGGTGCTGTAGCAAAGTATTCCACCCAGTTGGTTCTTCATAGCATTTACATTGTATTTATGGCATTTGGCAGACGCTCTTATCCAGAGCGACTTACAGTTTGATCATTTTACACAGGTAGGTGAAGGTAGTGTTAGAAGTCTTGCCCAAGGACTCTTATTGGTATAGTGTAGGGTGCTTACCCAGGCAGGGATTGAACCCCAGTCTACAGCATAGAAGGCAGAGGTGTTACCCAATACACTATACCAACCACAACAATAGCCTAGCAACTGCAACTATTCCCAGGATACCTCTGGAAAACTTCGCAATATGCCATAGCACATTTGTATCTGAAAACTTGACAATTATCCAGAGAGACTGGTGGAAAGAGTGAATTGTTACTCATTTCTCAACCCGAAGACAAAAGGAGGACTATAAGATCTCCATTAATGTGTGAAAGATCACACTACCAAGCCAGAACAGAGCATTTCCAGAAGAAGAATGGTTAAACATTTTGTTGTCATTGAAGCATCAGCACCACTATGGCAAGTGAGTTAGCAGCCAGCCAACACTGGAGTAGCCAGTCAACATGTGACCCCCCCTGAATACCAGGGGTATTTCACACACTGGCCACAAGTGGGAGAAAAGCAAAATTTTCAACAGGACTGCACTTTCCTTTGTTAGGCTAACCTCAGTAAGCCAAACAAACTTATATAATGTAAAATCAGTTTCCTGCAGTCTTAGAGTAGCATACATAAACTTAATGGACGTTTGCAAAAGTCCTGCCTCTCATTTATTGTTGCTGCGTCCATCAATACAACAGAGGAGAAGGTAGAAGCACACAGAAGAGTACCTTTGATTATAATGCTTTAATATTTATTTTTACACACATTTTTAAATCGGTACTCTGTTCAGTTCTGTTTAATCTGACTGATTTATCAAGATGTAAATTTATTAAGCAGCTGAGAAAAGCAGTAAAGAAAAGCTGACAAGTTAGCCAGCTGATCTGAACATATTTCTGCTGCATTGTTTATTGTTAAACATCACATTTAATTCATTTTTAGCAAACACAGTAACGCAGATAAAGGTTTAGGTTACCTTAGACCCTGCGTTAATCTGCCTCTTTATAGTTTTGACGTTGAGCTGCGAGTGTAGTCTTCCACAGAGTTTAATCCAAAACTTCTTCAGCTTCAGGAATTAAATAAAAACAGCACCCCCTACAGATGATGAAGATAGCATGTGTCAGGACTATTATACATAGTAAAACCTTTCTAACATTTATTAGCCTGTTAACCCTCTACTGCACGCATTATGAGAGCAACTTAAACATTTTTCGATTTACTCTTCTTGCATAAAAAAAAAAAACATTTTTAAAAAAATTAACATGTGCATGGGTCCTTTTGGGGTATGTTGCCTTGAGGCAACATTGTGCGATAATGGGAAGAAATAATATAGATCCGTGTTCCCTGAAGTAGTGAGACCTGGCTTGTGACTGGCCAAATACATTCCACTTTCTAGGCAACACACATTTTTGCAAATTCTCATAACAAAAAAGGTGATACTAAATTTTAAGAGGTTTAAAAGTGCCCACTAAGAGATAGTATGACCAAGAACATGCTTTTATTGACTTATTCAAACTCTGTAATTGTCTTTAAATATGTATAAGGTGTTGTAAAGTGAGGAAAATGGGTTTGTTGCCCTGAGGCAACATGTTGCAATAGAGGGGAATTCAGACTAATTTACTGCCACTGCCATTCTTACTGCAGACTGTTCTGTTGAAGTTTTTCCTTCGCTCAATGGAGGAGGTAGCATTTAATGATGATTGTGATTGGCTGGTGTGTCAGTTTTTCAAACGGTCAATTGCAAAGCCAACTGAAGTTGTATTATTCTGTAGTCAGTGTCATGTCCATATTAGGAACTCTGGGTCTAAGTTGGTTTTCTCTATAACAAACCTGTACAGCGTGTTGCCTTGTGGACGTTTATCCTCTGAACCTCGACAGATGCTCTGAATTATGAGGCTGTTACAGATCTGAAGTACAACTATTGCTCTGTGCAAGTAAAAACAGCAGCAACACTGCTGCTCACTGAATTAACATCGTAAATAGGGATGCATCCATACCGATACTGGTATTGGGTCGATACGATGGCAATTTACTCACACTCGTAAAAATTCAGATTCTGCTGGTACCGTGTGATGTAAGCAGTGTACACCGCCATGCTACTGAAGAAACACAGTGCAGGGGGCTCTGTACACACAGAGACGTGCTACTGACTCTGCGGCAGTCGAACACAAAGCCATCGGTCACTTTAAACATTCCGCCTTGGAATATTTCTGCCAGGAATACACTGCATGATTTTTGACATTTCGTACCGTATATGCGACTTCACTCAGTTTCACTGAGTAGAATAGCAAGGTATAAACATTAATATGGTTATTTATTAAACTGTCTTTTAACCCTTGTGTGGTGTTGGGTCTGTGGGACTCATTTTCAATGTTTACCAAAAGAAAAAATGATGTGATTTATTATTATTTCAGCCTCAGATTCTTGGTCTTTGCTCATTTTCTGTGAAGAACATATAAAATAACCCATTTTCAGTGTCTTCACTCTGTTCACCCCCCACACATTTATATTACACATGTGGTGTTGGGTGAACCTGCGGGGAGTAAAAGTGTGGAGGTGTTGTGTCCTTCACTCTGTTCTCCTCCTACATGGCCTGCTGTTAGTGTGTGTGTGTGTGTGTGTGTGTGTGTGAGTGTGGACATGGACAGGCTGCTAACTGGCTACAGCTGCTAAAGGAGAACCCTACGCTGGCCACTTGTGATATTTTAAACATCTGGTATTTTTACATACAAACTATAATGTGGTGGGTCCAGCAGACCACTGAGTAACAAACACATCAACACCACACAAGGGGTAAAATGTGGAGGGGCCATGTTGTCCTACTGTGCACATGCACTTCTGGCTTTTAGCAGGCTGCTCAGTTTCTCTATGCTTAGTACCTGGAGTGCAGTGTATTATTTTGAATGAAACAGATTTATTTGAAGTTGCTCATAGACGGAGTGCTTTCGTACAGTATATAAATCATAGGCTTCGTCTGTACACGGCGGTCTATTTAAACGCACAGTGTGAGTCACTAAAGAACAAGATTTCTAAAATCACCTGTATGCCTGTTGAGGACATTCATCTAGAGCTCAACCAGCCAATCAAAAGACTTTTGACATAAAACTCCACAAGTGAGCTCCTCAGATGTATCAGCCTTGGATACGATTCCTGCTGTCGCTGGGCTACAGAGACTGATGTCGAAAGAGACAGATGAGGATCAAAACTATGAAACGTACTTTACTTACAGCTGTACAGAAGCGCTTTTCTGACATGTAACAAAACTCTCTTCTCCACTGCAACATTACTTGATCCAAGGATGCAGCATAGGCAACCAATTCACATCATTTAAAATCAGCTAGATTTTAATGCTTTAACAATTAAGGTGCATTGCACTTATTTACACTAACATCTACTTAATTCTAAGTAGGTAACTCAGTATATCAGACTCAGCAAGTACAAAAAATATGTACCTGTACTCCGTCTTGAAAAAATGGTATTGATGCATCCCTAATCATAAGACTGGCAACCTCACCCAGATACCCCATACAAACCAGCAGGCTAATGTGGTATCTTAGAGGCTGTGGCAGTTTGAGTGGCTGGTGTTGGTATACAACTGTGTTGGAAGTTTAATAGTAGCTTAAGGCCCAGTCCCATTTCTTATTTTTACCCCACCCCTTGTTTTTCGAGTGCCACCTTGTCCCTTGAAACTGAGTCACAAGGGGTAGTGGTTGAAATCTTCCCTCTAAAATGGGACCCTCAAATAAAAAAGAGCATTACTTCATTAACAGCTACTAGCGCTGCTCTGTAGGCGACCCTGCCAGTCTGCAGTGACAGCAGAGGAGGGTAAAGTTCAGCTCCTCACTGCTGGGCTTTAGTTACATTTAGGGCATCATATGCCTTCAAAGAGGGGGGCAATTATTTATTATCACCCACCACTAATTCTTCAGTGATACGAAGCTGAAGTCAGATATTCGCCAGCTTCTCATTTGAATTTTCCCATTCCACATTATGGTGCTTCAGGTGTCAGAACTGCTGGACTATTTAAGGTGGAACTGGTAATTTAGCTATCTAGCTACCGAGACATTAGCATGCTATTAGCGATTTTTATGTTTGTTGAAGAAAAGGACCAAAATACACTGAAACAACATTAAACTAAGATAATACAATGATTATCATAATTGTTTAATGAAGAAAATTCTCACATTTGTGTGTTTCTTTGGTCTCTTGTTCAGCCATTTTGCTGTTTTTTCTTCTTTTCTTACTGTTTGGAGTGAGCCTCTGAAAAAAACTCTGTCTGGAGGGCCATGTAGCCCCAACACTTCACCCTACCCCTCTATCTCAACAAGAATCGGGACACCCTACCCCTAGACAAGAACGTGCAAAACAGAGGGCTAAGGGCTGAGTGGTAGGAGCGAGGGGTGAAATGGGATTGGGCCTAAATTTCATGTGTTATTTGTATATTGACTGCTAAATGACCTCATAATTCAGAGGATCCAGCAACACTCAGGGAAGAATGTACACAGGAGAAAAAACATACTGGCTTTGGGGCATTTTAGGACACGATAGCAGCAATTTTTGAAAATGGTGTTCATTTTTCTCACAGAGAGAATAATCTACTACCCAGAATTCACATAGTGGGCTTGGCACTAACTACAGAACAATGACAACTTCAGAAGTGTATTGTCTGGCTAAAGGTTCAGGTTCAGAAAGACAGCCATGGTACATTGCCCCTCTTTTTCGTTATTGTTAGCTGTGTAGCTTTTAGCTCACTAAGTAGCTAGCTAGCAGAGTAAAGTAATGTCAGAGCTGGTTTATGAGGAGCCTGGCCACTTCCTATTTCCCCCGTTATATCAAAAACAGGACTGCTAAACAGCAGAGGGCGCCCACGAGTGAGTCCTCAATGAATGGGAGTATATGGAGCTTAATGGCTTAAAAACGAAAAGTTAAAATAGTTTCTAATCACTCGCCCAGAACTTTCCTTTAATTTTAGAAAGTAGAAGGATGGATTTCACTAAA